TATAGGCAGTATATTTTTAGTATATGTTTTTGTAGACAGAATCACATATATGTTTAGTTTATAGAACATGTTAATGCAAGGTTGTTTGTTATGTTTTTGTGCTTATTTTCTTGTGTTTTATGTGTTTTATTTTGTGGTTTTTAGGTCCGTTTTTAGGCTCGACCGGTCCATTTTGTCGTGTTTTGTATATCCTTGCTCTTGTATTGCTTGTTCGTATTTTTGCGCGTTTTCTCTTTGTTTTTGGTGTGATTAGGTCCATTTCATCGAGCACGAGGAGATGAACCGTCCAAGCCGTCCAATTTGGAAATTCTGACCAAACCATACCCGGAGGAAGAGCATTCAAAGACAAGATTTTTGGTCCAAGTTTCGGGCGAATCGGAGTTCGGTGCGAGAAGATAGAGCGAAATGAAGAATCAAGCACGAACCGAGCCCCTACCCGCGCACAGCATGCCCGTGCCCGCGTGCGCCCCCAGCACAAGTCATGTCGCCCGGCCCGCGAGCTCGAGGAAGAACCCGCGACCTCGAGAGTGCCTTCCACTCCATGCCGCGACCTCGAGGCAAAATCCGCGAGCTCGAGAGTGTACCCAGCGCAAGCCCGCGACCTCGAGGCCCATTCCGCGAGCTCGAGAGTGCCTTCCCAGCCCGTGCGCGTGCTCGCGGATTCACGCGCGACCACGAGAGTGCCGCGTCCCGTGCCTGCTGTGTTGCCCAACGCCCACGTGCTCGCGAATTTTGCAGCTACCTCGAGAGTGTCTCATTTAATGTGCGTGTTTTTAGTGTGTGTTTGTGGTGTAGCTATATATAGACATCTTGCTTTGTATTTTTTAGAACAACTCTCATTTCCCAACTTTTAAGTTGGGAATTCCTCTCTATTTTCTCTTTTTCTTTTTTTATGCTTTGGTTTGGAGCTTATGAATCAAGTTTTCCGGTGAATTTCCGGCGACGTTGTTTCGAGTAAAGTTTCGAGCTTTTGACTCCGGTTTTCTTCCCAAGTGCGTGTGAGAGTGGGTACTTGGTCTTAAGCCTCATTACTTCGTATATCTTTGGTTGCTTTTGTGAAAATCGATATTGTGCTTGTGTTGCTTGGAGGAAAAGATTGAATCTTTAGATCGTGAATGCTTGACTAAGTGTGATTAGGAGTTGAATACTTGCTCGTCTTGTGCTAGAGTTGGGTTTAGCTTCCTAGGGTTTTAGCTAGCATGGCAATGTTCGGTTATTTGCGTGTGATTGATCATGGAGACTCCGGCAAACCAAAATCTCTCTTTCCCCCTTGATTTCTCTAATCTTCTTGCGTGCTTTACTTGCTTTCGATTTCAATTTTGTAGATTAATTTAGATTAAATCAACCCCCAATTTGCGAGTACAATGTTTAGGACCTTTTTGGTTGTGTGACTTTGACGACTAGGTAGTGAACGAAGCTCCGAAGAGCCTTCCTTTGAGAACGACCCGAGTCGGGTAGCTCGGTTACCACATGCCCAAAAATATACTCAACAAAATGGCACCGTTGCCGGGGAAGGCGAGTAGGACGCCAAGTTTACTATCTAGTTGTCGTTTGTTTCTGTGTTTCTCTTGCTTTTTTTGTGGATTTCGTTTGTTTTTGCGTGTTTCTCTTGATTATTGCCTTGTTTTTCGATTTCTTTTGTTTTGCCTTTCGTGCCCGTGTAAATATTATGTGTTTTTAGTTTTGCTTTTCGTTATTCTCTCTCTTGCCTCGTGTGCCTTGGGTTGTTTTTCTTGTTCTTGTGCGAGGTATTACGCTTGAGGAGCCCGGATGGATCCCTATTATCACTATTATGCCGGGAGCTCATTTCGTGGATACCCCGACAATTCTCAAAGGGAGATGAACTCATTTGGCCCGAGCCACCCTTATTCCACACCCCAATGTGATTATTATGATCACTATTCGGCTTATGACGAGACGCCTCTCTACTATCTTCCACCTCCCGGTTCATATGATGTTATGCCTTCACCCGAGCCGACTCGGGCCCCTCCAACCGAATTAGAAAAGATCATGGCAAAGTTGGAGGAGGACACTCAATCCCTTCGTGCTTCATTGGCCTCTCTATCCAAAAAAAGAAGAAACCGAGTCCTTCACTTCTCCCTCTCCGGTATTTGAGCACCCATCGGTTGGCCAACCTCGTTCATCTAGTCTTGGAGCTTCATTTTATTCCGAGGTTGGGCCGATCGATCGTCACCAAGAAGTTTTGGCGAGAACTCAAGACGCACTCGCGATCCTCGCGTCGATCATCGAGGAGTTTAATAGTTTGAGGTGCATCCCGATTCCATCCGTTCTACGTGCTACACTTGAGAAGTTCGACTCCACCGTGGTGTCTTTTCTCGACTTGGATTCATCTTCTATTCCGCTCGGTAGATATTCTACTCTATCGGCGAAGTTTATTCGAGAGAGCACTCGATTAGAGAGCGAATTTTGAGCTATAGTGGATCGTTTTGCTTCTTTGAAAGAGAAGGGCCTCACTCCCGTGTACGATGGGACTCAACCTCTAGATACGAGTGAGGACACCGATGAGCTTATTGTCGAAAAACTTCCTCCTTGTGATGACATGGACTTGGATTCTACACTAGGTACGTCAAAATTTTCTTCCGTTGATGGTGCTTCGGGTTTTGATTCGATTCTTGAGGAAGAGAGTATGGTTTCGGAAGTTGATGTTGAGGATGGACTGGGAGATAATTTAATTGAGGGTTTGAGTGAGCCGAGGGGTAATGAAGGTGTTGGTGATGATGATGAGGAGGATGATGATGGTGATGAGGAGGAATCCGAGCATTTAGATGTTGTTGAGCCGGATGTGCCATGTGCGGATGAGATGCCTTGGGATGTTGAGAATAAGGTGGTGCCCATGTCCTTTGGGGCGTCGTTTCGTGTTATTGAGGATCGTGACCATTTGGAGGAGTTTAGTGTGCCTACACCCGTGCTCCCGATGCTTGAACTTGATGAGTACACGTTCGAGATAGTGCAAACGATGCCCGGGATTGATTCGACGTGCTCCATGAATATATTTATAATTTTGGAGGTCGACTATGGGGCCGTGATGCGTAAAGATCTATCTCTTCTCTTGTTGGTTGTCGAAATCCGTGCTCGGTTTCACAAGAACGCGGCCACGAGTGTAATATCCCGACTTTTATCAGTATAATAATATTTCAGTTCCGATATTATTTTTCGGAGTTAATTATTTTCAGTTATTTCAGTCGGAATTACCGGAACTATTTTCGACGTATCGTTTACGTTCGAAATAATTTTGGTAATTT